AAAAGAAGAGTGGTCATCAATGTGGGACCTCATGCTTAAGCACATTTGAGTGATACAGCAAGAATATAATTAAGAAAGTAAAGGTTATGATTAAAACCCCTCCAGTGTGACTGATTTGCAGCAAGTATGCAAAAAAAATGGTGGTTTAAAGTTTGTCCACAGGGATGTTAACAGACATTTGCCAGTTGTTACAATTGCTTCATTGCTTCTATCACCAATATTAAGATAGTAATTATCTATGGAAAACTTTAATTCATATTTACACAGGGTAGCTTTGTCCAATATAAAATGCAACTTGCCTCCTTTTTAAATAGTTTTGCAGCACTTTAAATAGGTCTCAAAATATTAAAAAAGGAAAGTGTAAATCAAAGCTTTCTAACATTTTTTTTTTGGTTATTTGGAGCATGATTTAGACATTATAACACAAGCAAGCGGGCCAGAAAAAAATCAAAGACACACTTGTGTTGAAAAAGCTTTTTAAAAAGCTTTTATTTTACATTTCCGTCTGATTAAAATCAATAAAGACCCTTAGGCTCTTCTATGCTGCAGCTTTACAAGTTTATTGGACAAAAAAATAAAATAAAATCACTAATCTAATATAAGAGTGACTAAACGCATGTTGTCACACTTTGGGGAAAAAATAGGATAACACTAATCACATCAAGAAAATTAATTAAATTTTTCAAATCTTACTACCCAAATATAGAGTAGGTAGGTTTTATTGTGATGAAGCAGCAAACTGTATAGACTCCTCTGTTCATACTTTCTACACCAGTGTTATTATTGTCTAATGTGGGCCTTTATGGCTGCAGCTGTCAACATCCATCGCCTTATACCCATAAAGCCTCATGTTGTACGGTTATTTTCCGTAATTGGTTCAGATTATGTCCCAACAATGGCCAATAACCCACACTCTCAGCCAATAAAACGTTCTCACATAAAATGTGTTAGATAAAATATATATTTCACACGTATGAACCCCCAGTCACTGTGTTTCTGTGTGACAGTTGTGAAGCCCCCTCCCACAATGATTCAAGGACTTCCCCAGAGCCTGTTCATAATTGAGCGGAGATCATTAGGATGCTGTAGACTTCTAATCTTTTTTAAAGCATTTTATAATAAGACAGAGACCAGCTGGTGTCCATTGAGAGTCTCTCAGAGGCCCAGATGATTAAAGTCCTCTAAATGACCGCCTTTGGTCCTTAGCTGAGATGTTTCCCCTTTAATCAGACATAAGCCCTCATTGCTTCCCCTGTTTCTCTGACACCAGTTACACAAGCCACACAGAACCCTCTTAAAAACTGCTGGCCAATTAGAAGAGACATGAAAAAGATGAAAGCCCTATTACCGCATTGTCCTAAGCCATACGTCGAACCAATTAACTGCAGTATGCATAGACAAAAAAAATAAATAAAAAACTTGAGAGACACACATCTGCTTCCGCCCAAGGCAAAGTGAAAATGAATATGAACCATGTTGTGTGAAAGCGGAGAGAGGACAGGCACCGGGACACTTAATTGATCTTCATTAGGTTAATTACGGCTGTGATGTGGAGCACGGAATGAAAAACGGGTCGCTCTCTTCTATAATGCTGTCTAAATGCAACTTGTGAAGTTTTCTGTTGACCTTGACAGGTCACAAAAATGTGACAGCTTTCTTTAGTCATAGCAGTGAGACTAAAAATTGTTTGATCACTTTTAAAGCATTGTAAAATATAGGAAATAAAATCTGCAAGAATTCAGAAAAAAGAAAAGAAAGAAAAGATTGTGTGTTTTTTCCTCTTATCCACTCCAGTGCATGGGTGACTGCACTGTCAGCAGGCACGGCTCTGCCCTTGCATTTGAATAAACACCATCTGAGTTGGCTGGCTTCGTATAATATCTGTCAGGGAGCTGCCGCCCAGTGATCTCAGGGACTCTGACCTCTGTCCCCCGGGAGCAGCTGACGGGACATTGTAGTGACAGGGTTTCTTCCCTGTCGATCTGCACGCTGATCCGCCTTACACCCTTGTCCCACTCGACTCGAAACTCAATCGGCTTGCCTGTCTGCTCCTTGCATTGGAAATAAGTTGGGGCTGGCTTAGAGGCTGCGATGAAGAGTCACGAGCTCGGGATAAAAACCAGCTCGGAGGATGCCCGTCAGTGAGATTGATGGTTCCCTGGAATTGTGTTGTCCTCCTGCTAGCACTATAAATTTTCTTTTGCTGAATAACAAGTCTGTCATCCAAATACTCATGTCAGTATCTTTAAAGTTAACATTTAGAGAGGATTTCTTTCAGGAGTGGATCTGAGAGTATTACGGTGGTAAATCAGTCTTGTGGATAAAAGAAATCTGAAACGGCGCTTTCAACTGAGGACACAGAAATCAATTGGTTTAGATTTACAGCCCAACATGTTTGCTGATATTAGAATATATTTTTACAGGCACTCACCTAAGACATATTAAATTTAAATCAAGTTTTCTTAACTACACATGAAAATGTAGGTTTTCAATGTGTTACATCAATCTATCAATCCATTTTAAATTATTGTGGAAAGTAATTTCCCCTCATGATTTGTGTTTTTTTCAATTTAAAATTCTAGACCATGAAACAAATTTTCTTATTAAACTGAGATAACTTGATTAAACACTCAAAATAAGTTTTTCAATGAGAATGTCCTTGATTGAGATACATTAGATTAAGAAAATATAACCCAAACCAATGTGATTCTTTATGGAATAATACAAATATATATATATATATATATTTGTTCAAATCATGAAGTAACTGTGATTGATCAAACCCATGCCTGATTCTGCCCCACCTGTTTAATGAAGAACATTACTCAAAATAATCTTTGTACTAACATGAAGCAGACTAAAGGAAGACTCTTCAGAAGCAGCATACCATGTAATGATCTAAAGAATATCAAGCAGGTTCCATGTGAAGCAGGTGCACTTGCTACTTGCTCTTGCTACAACTGAAAAAAGGGCAAGTAGAATAGAGAAATTCTAGAAAAGAAATGCTTTCATACATTTTAAGATCTGTCTAGAGGGGAGTGCAATGCTATGTTTAAGAGGTTTGGGACACAGAGAAGCTATTATACAAGAAACATGGAAAAGTAGCAAATTGAAGTCTGACCTACCAGAAATACTTCCAAGAGTGCATTTAGAAGGTCAGAAAAGAGGTAAAATCTAAAGCACTATATGCTTCACATACCTCAGTTAAGGTCAGTCATCATGATGCAACATTAATACAGACTGTGGCAGAATTCAAGATGAATAAAAGCAACACAAAGGCCCATCTCATACAAAATAAAACCATTTTGAAGACTTTAAGCTAACTATTGTGGGATGATGTGACAAAATTGAAGCGGCTTGGAAGGTTTGTGTCTTGTTATGTCTGTCATAAAATAAATGGAATTCAAAAAGAAATTGGTGGTAGTGTAATGTACAACTAATATAAAGTCTGTAACTTCATTTTGATTTTATTAAAGATGCATTAAGGAGTTTTGTAATAATACTTCAACCTGTGGCACAATGACAGAACAGCAGCCCTCCTCTGCTCATTCCACAAGGTGCTCCTGTTGTTTTTTTTTTTTACATTTTCCACCTTACAGTGAGTGGCTATTAGTGTCTGAGTTGAGCTGTATGTCATGATCATTGCCCCGATAGCTTTTCATTTCACTCACCTGCCTAACCCTCCTCGGTTACTAATTATCATTCATCTTATCCACCTGCTCCTGCTGCTTTATTTACGGTTCAGCCCAGCCATCAGGGCCAGATCATTGTTTGTTAGTTTGTTTTGATTCACTTTTTGTTTTTAGTTTTGGAGATCATGGCTGATTTCCGTGGTTCTTGTGCTTGTTCTTGGAGGTAAGTGGTTAGAGAGGGTTTTTTGTCTTGTCTTTGTGTTTTGCTGATCGTGTTCATGCTCATGTCCGCTGAGCGTGCACTGTTCCTGTTTTGGCCCCGAGGGGGGAGCTAGTTTAAAGTTTTGTTGTCTTGGCTCTTATCCACTGAGCTTGCCTTGTTTCTTTTTGGCTCAGTGGAGGGAGTTAAAGTTAAAGTTCTGTAGTTTTCCTGATGTCATGTCTAGTTCTGCCTCTTAACTACTGAGCCTGTTTTCCAGTTGAACATTTCTGCCTGAATTCGCTCTTGGACTCTTGGAACCCTGAACCTGCCTAAACGCTCTGTGGATTCCTGGAACCCTAGATCTTTCTGTTCCTGTTTCTGATTTTACGGACTCCTGGATCTCAGAACAGTTCTGTTCTGAACCCTGACCTGGCTGAGACTTCTGCCCGTTTACTGAGGCTGCAGCATCGGGGAAACTCTGGGTGGCTCGCGCTGCATCTCGTGCATTCCCTTTTTAAAATGATCCTATTTTAACATATGCCACTGCATGTTTTACTGTCTCATTATATTGAAACTGATGTTCAAGCTGTTGTATTCTTTCATGATGTATTATTTGAAACATAAGTAGGTATTCAGCAACAATATTTATGTTACAATAAAACAAGGTGTTTCATTCACTTGTTAAAATGTTTAACATTGTGAACCACCCCTTTTCAGCTACCGGAAGCAGCCTAGAAACCCTTTTGGACAAAGGATTATGAAAAAACTGGAGGTAATGGAACAAATACACCCAGGTTATGTGACAATAATGAAAAAAAGTTGTGGAGAGTCAACAGCCAGACCCTTTATACTTTTATATGTACCTTGCAGTAAGAAATGTCTGTGGTTCACACTTTTAAAAGAATGCTTTCCCCAACCATTCCACCCACATATTTACCCACAATAATGACCACTCTTACTGTAATACTTGTTAAAATGTCAATTCTGTATTGATAAGCATAAAACTACTGAAATAATTCTTCAGTGGTCACTATCTGGTAAGCCATGTTCAAAGATACCATTTTGGATACTATTTTTTTCATACTTCAGCAGTTTTTCTTTCTTACTTTAAAACTAAAGTTTACGGTCAGATTTATTCTCTTTTTATACATTAACATAAATAGTACCTTAGTTTTGTCGTATAAGGCATGGTTGTCCAGCAGCATCTGTCGTTCCAGTCGAGCAAACCTTCGTAGGTCTCTCTCAAACATCTGTGAAATAGAAGATAAGAAGTTTAGGTCAACTGTCTCCATTAAGGCTGTGAGACTGACCACAATTAGTTTTCATTTAAGCCCCTTATTTTGGGAATTTTAAAATAATATATTCTTACAGTTGTATCTTTAGGATTGGTTTAAATGTCTTAAAGTCCAGAATTTCTTTTTAGCTGTTCCAAAATGATGTTATTTTCAGTTAAAAATAAGAAGCAAGAAACAAAATACTAAATGAGGAAGACTAATTTTTCCTTATTTAACACCCAAACCTTCAGTCAGCAACCACACTGTCATAGAGTCTCTGAAATCCTTCATACCCTGGACCCAGTCCAGCCAAGCTGAGTGAAAGCATAACGATCCATCGGTGGTGACACTAAGTCCACACGCACGGCTCTCCAGTTTCTGCTGTCCCCGTCACTTCTTTGTAGTCCTCCCTCCACTTGGCTGCTCTCCAAACGTAGGATCAGGAAGCACTTTGCAAAGTGGTCCATGGCCTCAAACTTGTGGCTGGGAAGCTTTGATATGTCAAAGGTAGAAGCCTGATGATCAGTGAAGAGCAGAAGTCCCTGATGAAAAAAAGGAGAAAATAAATTGTTTATTCATCAATAATTTCTGTTTATTGAACTCTAAAGACAAAATACAGCTTCCTCTTAAAAAAATCCTTTGGTTCATCAATATCTCTTTTATAAGATCAAAAGCATTAAACATTGGTTAATAAAATTAATCCCACAACAAAATGTTCTCATGCTTTTGACCTGTTAATGGTTAATGGCCTGTATGAGTACCTGTACTTTTCAAGTCAGGCAGAAGACCTGAGCAAAGCGCTTTATACCACATTCAGTCATTCACCCATTCACGCACACACTGATGACGGACAGAAATGAGGCTGCCGTAAAATGGCGCCACCAAGCCCTTCTGACCACCATCAGTAGGCAATGCAGGTGAAGTGTCTTGCCCAAGGACACAATGACACTGAAAGCAGGAGACGGGGCTTGAACCAACATCCCTTCGATTTAAGGGCAAGCTCCTGCATCTGACTCCATTGCATGCATTTAATTTAGGATTCTATATAATAATCCCACACAAAGTAGTGCAGAATACTATACAACGCTCTGATAGAATCCAAGAAAAATCTAAAAAATCTCAAGTCAGTACTTGGCAAAAGAAGATTGTGCTGCAGATACAACAAGCAACTTTAAGGGGCTATGTTTCTAGCCTGACGTAGTCCTACTCAATTCTAGTCAGAATATGAGTCTGATGCTGCTCCATAGAGCTGTGATTATGGGGCGTGTTTCGAACGAACTAGGAAAAAAATGCCTCTGCACTCAATTGGATAGACCTACAACCAATAAGAGCAACGGAGTGCGTGACGTATGTTAAGCGACGCATAGTTTTTGTCAACAAAAATCAAAGCGTGCAGTTGCACGCCTATAAGAAGATGAGCCTTGATCGCGTTTCTCTGTTCCTCTTTTAAAATTAATTTGCTGTCGATATCTTCTAGAACAGACCTAATAGCAGAATCTACTCACCCCAACTCTCCAGCGGCAGCCATTGTTGTTGTCACCCAAGCGCGCATTGGTCACGTGGTTGATTACGTTACTGTTGATCATCTGTCCATCATCGTATAAAGCCCGCCCTGACAATTTGATTGGCCCACCAGATATTGTGCTAGCATACTCGCGCTACTGTTGAGCAATGCCAGACCGAACTTCCCGACCTCAAACGTTGTGGGCGGTCCTAAGTTCGGAATGGCACGCTGGCTACTATGTTTCTACCATATTAGCAAAACTTATCACATTAATTTACATTACTCTTTGTTAAATAGCTCAAGTAAAATTAGAAAGGATGCAGATTGCCTAGGGATTTACAATTAGATTTTTGTCTAAACTTTGCCTGAGCCATTCTAGCACATTAAAATGTTTCTATCCAAACCATCTCATTGCCACTCCATCTTTAAGTTTCTGAGTTACAGTATGTCCTGCAGGAAGAAAAAAATTTCCACTCTAGCTTTAAATCTATTGCAGTCTGTAACAGGTTTTCTTCCAAAACGGTCCTGTATTCAACTCAGTTAATCCTCACATCAACTTTGACCTGCCTCCCTTCTATTGAAAAGCAGTCCCATAACATAGGGCTGCTACATCCATGTTTCACCAAGCTTGTGGTCCATGTTTATTTTCCATCAAATATTTTGTTTTGCATACAAGCCAGAAAGTTCAGTCTAAGTGTTATCTAACCAGATCAGATATCACATTAATTTGTTCTCTCCCTCACATTCGCATGTGGTCATTTGCAAAAGATCCTCTCCTCTGGCTTTCTTCTCATCAGAGTTCACGACTAAGAACAGTGCAGCCAAATTATAGTTACTGAGCTTTGCATCTCTGAGGCTGCTTAACTATTACAATAGCCACAGCATGTGAATCAGTATGACATAATACACAACAGAAATAATAATTATTACCATTCTGTTTTAATGAATGTTTGTATGGATGTCAGAATTGTTTGTATGAATACCTTGATGCCGCTTGGATTTTAAAGATATTAGTATGATCTGGTGATCTATAGCTGTATATAATCTATAAATCTTTTATCTGCTATTATCTTTCATTTTTTATCCTGAATTATAACCCCACTGATCATATATACCATTTATAGTCAATGCATACATAGTCTCTATACACATGTAAATAAATATTTATATCCTGTATAGCACTTCTGGATAGATGCAAACTACATTTTGTTGCTGTGTACTTGTGACATAGACATAATAGAATAGAATAGAATAGAATAGAATAGAATAGAATAGAATAGAATAGAATAGAATAGAATAGAATACAATAAAATGCAATAGAATAGAATAGAAAATCCCTTTATTGTCCCATAATAGGGAAATTCTGGTGTTTACTGAAGCAAAAAGATTGTCGAAAAAATCATCACATAAACGTGGACCTAAGAAAAATGTATAAGAATAACATAACAGTAAAGAGTGAAAGAATAAACAGTAAAATACTTTACTGTAAAGTGATTATTAATGTGAGTATTAACAATATAAAACTGTGCACCTGGAAAATAAATAACCATACAAAGCTATGGACATTTTTACAGTAATGGATTTTTGTAAATGATATTAAATTTGAATTCTATTCTATTCTATTGCCTACTGACTAACGTACAAGGCCACATTTTCTACTAAAATTAGAATTTCTCAGTAAAATTCTTACCTGAGGAAAAAATGCAGTTGTTCTGTTAGAAACTTGTCTGTTTTACTAGAAAATAGTGCTTTCCATGAGCAATTAGGCTTGCCTCAAAACCAGACTGAAACTAATCTTCGAGATGAAAAGCAGCTCAGACACAAGCCCTGAGGTGTTCAAAATGGTTGCATCAAGGTTATGTTTCTTTAAACAAGGTTGGATATTTACCGTTTTAAAGTAGTGAAACGAGGAAGGAGCAGATTTCACCGGGGATGAAATCTCGTTAACAAGTGGATTCTGAGATGTGGATGCTGTGATGTTGAGGTTAATTTGTCCCTTTTTTCTGGCATGATTGCTGATAAGTATATAAATAGTCTCAGCATCCTCTCAGTAAGTGTTTTGGCCTCTAAATGAGAGTGGGTGTCTAGACTGATAGTTGTTTGTTGCTGATTATGATGGTCAGTTGGACAGCTTTTCACTGCAGATGAACCTTCAATAATCATTGGTATGACTGGCATGAAATTTGCTCTGAATTATATTCCCAGAGGATTTATACAAAACTTTGATCTTCTGTCTCTTCTCCAAGCAAAACTAATTTAAATTTATCCAGTGAATGTCATTGCTGCAGGCAATTAGTTTTTTTTTTCTTCATTATTTTATCTGGAGCTGCCATGAGGTTCCAAGTATTTAAACATGTATGAACAATTATTATTATTTATTTATTTTTGACGGTAACTCTCACAAAGATAAAGGATTTTTGAACTTTGCTGCCAGAAATAAAAGATACAAACTAACAGTTTAGACAGTAAACAAACTTACAGCTGTCAACATTGCACTAACTTACTTTTCCAATTTGCCTCTCACACCAATTTAAAGGCAGAGCCACAAAGATTGACCGCAATTTTGTTTATCTTTAGATGCTATTTTCAGATGCCTGAAAGTAATGGCACATCTATTTAAACAACTATATACAGATATAAGGAAATATAAGGAAACCACTCTTTCAGTTCGCCTATAGGAAAGACAGATCCACAGACAAGGCTATCGGTATCGCTCTTCACACTTCACTGATACCCGAGGTTCATTTCGTTAAGCAGGTTTAACGAACTCAAATCCTTAACTTTGAATTAATCAAGTCTAAGATTGGAAACTGAGTTTTCGGTGTCACAAAGGCTGCTGCGAGTTAGTTTAATCAACTCAAAGTAGATCCACTCAGCGTTGAACAGGTGCGTAACAAGTAAGAAAAGCCATCGACAGTGGGGCCCCAATTTGATGAATCACCGTGACAACAGACAACAGGAAATCCCATTTTCACCCTACTCGAATTTGAAATTTTAATGAAGAAATTAATTAAATAAATGGAGAATGTGTTTAAATGAAGAGCAACAGAACTACGGCAGCAAAGGAGGGGGAGATGGTGAAAGAGAAGATTGCTGCTCGAGTTAATGCGCAATTTTATATGAAGTCCACTATGGCAGGCCATTTTAATATTTATTAAAAGCACTTTCCTCTGTGTTCTTCCATTAGAAATTCACTAAGATTCATTTGTGTCAAAAACTCATTCTTAGTTGGAACAATAACAGAGATTCTAAATTATTATTTCAACAGAAGGTAACTTTCAGAAAGTAAAAAAACTAAATTGTACTAGTAAGAATTGAGTTTTATATATTCAGTACCATGACTCCAGAACTTCTCATCAGCAGTCAGCTGGATCACTTCCTCCCCACCTTCATCTGTACTTGGATAAAATAATTCCTCACCAACAGACCCCCATTCAGTGAGGTTGGGCTACACTCTTCCTTGTCTCTTGGCATCGAGGCTGAATCAAGAGTCCTACTCTGTTCACTTTAAACAAATCACTGTCCATCCAATTATTGGATTTGTTGGTGACATAACTGTTCTGTCCCTGACCTTGTCAAGGAATCTGGCTACAGACAGGAGGTCGAACTGTTCAACATATGAAGTGGACTATTTCTCTCTCCACATACATGGGGACTAGTTAGAAACAGTGACTTCCACCCAATTCATTAGAGTTTTTCTCTCTAACAACCTCTCATGGTCTGCGAAATACGGTGATAAAAGTAAAGGCCCAGCAGCGTATTTATTTCCTGCGAGTTCTTAGAAAAATCCGACTGAACCACAAGCTGCTAATGCTCTTCGATCATGCCACTTTTCAGTGTAATAATTTACTGCACCTCAGTCTGGTAGGCTGGGAGCCGAGCAGCAGATAAAATAGCCTTACAAAGGCTCATCAATGTAGCACAGAAGATCTCAGGATAATCTCTGTCCTCCGTGGAGATGATTGCCAATTCCAGATGCATTGTAGAATTACAAACATCCTTAGTCTTCTCCAACCCAGCTCATCAATTGTTCAGACT